GTAAAAGATCCAGCCCACCACAAAGCATACGTCAGCTTTATAGATAACGACGAAGGAAGAGTCGTTACAATTGTCGTTCACCTGAGCAGACACAACGGGATTGACTTTCAAGTAAAATACACGGCGACCAAAGTTAATAAAACAAAACTTACAAAAAATCAAATGTTACGGAGACCTAGCCCGATGAGCAAATCATGGATATTCCATGTTAGAAAGGAGGATTTATAGCAACATCAAATTAGTACCTCATATTTGGGCGTGTGGTATAAATCGGAACACAAATTATATGACCATTGTTAGAAATATAGCGGCACATAAATACTGTTATTGATCTTAGCTTCATATTTGTGAGTGATTGATGGTCGTTAGGACAGTCCTGAATATACAAATATCGCTAAACAATGTCATATTAAACCAATTGTCGGTAATTAAACGGTATAGAGTATAGAGTTTCATTCTTGCTAAGTAGGGATTAAAATTTTATATCCATTAAAAACTTTTGGATATTTTAGTAAATATTTATGGATAAGTTGTTACAGAAACTATTTGTAAAGATACAATTCACTGTTTAGTGCTTATAAGATGAAAAAACTTTTATATATATGCAATTTATTGTTTATAGATGTATTGTAAAGCCAGATTATATTTTAATAGAGTTTTCACTGGCCTTAATAAAATTAATTTCCAAATTTTAATGGTATATATTCGGAATTTTTGTAATAAGTCGGGGAGTGTTTGAAGCTGTTTTTCATGCTCAAAGTCCAGGATATCAACACCCATTTATTACTTGATTATATATGTATATTGTGATGCTCTTATACTATTTCGAATTATTGCTTAGTAGATTTTAATTCATTTAATTTAAATTGTGAACAGAAACAAATAAATTCCAAAGACTCTTTTATGGTAATAGTCTATTTCTGATTAAATGCATATCTAAATATATTTTTGCTGTTTGTAGTAATTCAGTGATTAAGCTTTATCTTCTTTTTAGTGCAGGACTGAAAATTTGTTCTTAATGTACAGACTTAGTTTTTTTTAAACAATTTTAAATGTAACTTCACATATTCCTCTCTGTGATATAAATGGAGAATTCAATGCAAGCATCGACGATAGCATAAAAAGCAGAAGGTGAAGATACAATTAGATAGCAGCTGCTTTAGACTGTTGACATTTGTTGGTAACTGGAACCGTTCCATGCAATTCTTTTTGTGAGTTGCTGTTTCTGTTTTTTTTTTGTGAGTTTCAGATAAAAACAAAGGCAAGTGTAAAGTTTTTAAAGTTCATACCAAATTTGTTGTTGTTGGTATTGTCGTTATTTTGATTGCGGTTCTTGCTTTTTGGCTGCATCTTTTGTTATCGTTTTGCTCAGTTGGTCTGTTGGTCTGAACTGGTTTAATGTTGCAAAAACATAATGTGTATATAATAGATATGCTCGTATCTACGTTTAAACTGGTATAAAGTATAAAGGAAATCAACAAAGAATTTCTGCAACATATGATCAACAGGTAAAAAAATTGTTGCACTTACATTTTATTGCCACAGTCAAGTGAGTTTCGTTTTTATTTTTTATTTTTAATAGTTTCCGGTTACGCTTTGGACTTTGACTTTTCACAAAAAAGCAAAAAACAAAAATAAATACAAATTCATGCAAGAAAGATACAAAAGTACAGAGAAGTTTATATGTAACTACTGTGTAGTGCTGCCCTCTGTGTTCTAAATATCCGCTTTAATAACACCAAAATGCAGACACAGATAATTCCAGTGAATTGTTTCTTTATTGATGGAATTATGCTGTGATGAACTTGTTTACTCCGTAACCAGTTTAACAGGAATTCCATATGAAGCTGAAGAATTGGGATGGACATGGAAAAAATTCAAAAATCAAAACACATTTCGACATTGTTTACATTATAGACAATTTTGCCATAAACAAGATTTCGATTTTGCCGAGTTGTTTTGAACGGATATTTCTCTCAAACTGGACTTTTAATCGCAATAAACAAATTAATTGCAATTAAAAGTGAGAATTTGTCAATGCAATAAACATTTTTTTATTTTTATGAAAATAGAATCAACAAAATATAAAATAAACAAGCAATAAAATTGATAAAAACAAATAAATTTTGAATGAGATGATGCGCTAAGAATTAATTTGCTAAATATTGATGCTTCACTGGAGAATAGTATGCTAACATGACGAAGACAGAATGGCAGCATTTGTAGTAGTTGAGGAAGTCGTTGGTAAAGATTTTGTATATGATAAACATGGATGAGTGTAATATGTGCAGTAAACCCCATAAGGATTGGTAACAATCTAAAGGCATTTTCGATTGATAGATCTGGATTCCATCTAAATTTACCCTCGATCAGTTAAATTTTGTTGCCTAATCGAATATTTTTAGAATAATCTAACATTTTTGTGGTGGTTTTACTTATGGTGGGACGTTGGGTCAGCGCAGCGTCCAACAAGAGGCCCCACTGAAGTGAAGGATTAGCCGAAGTAGACCACGAAATTAATTGGGTCTTTTTTCGTCCTTCTATTCTCGAATATCGTTATTGAGTTAAAGCTGCAATGACTTCCGTTCGCATAACTACATCTCTTGTTAATGCAAGCAGCTCATTTAGCTTGATGTTGCCTGCCAAGTGATCACCAACCCAATGGTACCCAAGACAGTCTTCCTCCTACTTGCCAATGCTGGACATTGGCACAATATATGCACCGTTGTCTCCTTTTTTTCTAGACATAGTCTGCAAGACTATGTAGTAGTTTTAGTAAACATTCATATTTTTATGAATATATATACCGAATCAAATCACACCCTATCTGTAGTCATATAAAAGAACTGTTAATTTCAGGGCAATCTAAAAATGTTTAGAGTGTAAAAAATAAATCTGAAGTGTTATACATTTCGCTAGAGATTTATCAATCAAAAATGAAAATTGCACAAAAAGTGAACCTCGATTAAAAATGTTACTCCAGATTTACTAATCAAAAATGGTATAAGTGGTTATCTAAAAGTAATTCAGAGCATTTATTTTTTACGCTGAACTATCTGCTGAAGCTTTCATTTCTAGCGTGAAGCGATTGACAATGATTGTTAAGACCAATATACAAAATATTTTAACATAGTTATTTAGAAATCTATAGATGTTTTAAAATTATTTGAAAATTCTCTAGTTCTCTCCGGAATGTAATTGGTTACAATATATTACAGTAGAAAATAATAAAAAAGATAGAATAAAATACACATAGGTTTAAGAAAATTATCGTATCTGAGTTTGTGGTAAAAAACATAAAGAGAATAGATGGAACTCAAAATTGTGAAGCTATTCTTGTAGTCTATTGTGTGACCTCGTTAGTTGCAGATAGTAGAACACACATTCGATTTATCATGTTAAAGGGATTTTGATGTTCGGATTTGAAATGGAGTACATTAAGATATTAAGGTTTAGTGCAGAGAAGTAACAGAAGCGCATAAATCTAGACTATCTTAAAATTTAAGACACACCATTTTGGTGGGATGGATCAGGAAAATAACGATTAATAAGTTATAGAAAAGTAACAGATTAAGGAAATAAATCTAAGTTTAAGACACATCATTTTGGTGGGATGGATTAGGACACACAATTTTGAAGGGATGAGCTACGTATCAATTGAGCTTAGATTTTTGTACGTAATGGAATAATTACACATTTAAATAAACTTTTAAATATAGCTGAAGTTTAAAATATGTTTTAATGATAGTTAATTGTAAAGCAAGTAATCGTATTCCATTAAGTCATACCAGAACAGTTTTTATTACTTTAGAAATTGTTGTGATGACTTGTGGTGCTATTAAGAAATCTAAGCACTTAAGTTTTAAATGATATATATTTGCTGTGATAAAAATTTATTTGGAGCTTATATTAGGTTTTTAAGTATATATCAGTATATCAAAATAAACACTAAGTTTTGTCATAGTTGTGCATTGTATCCGATAAGATTATGTGGGTTTTAAGATATTGATTCAATAATTTAATAGATTTTGAGTGCCATAAAGAAAACATTTTAAAATTACACAGCAAATTTGTTTGGAATTTGAGGTCATTTAAGTTCAGTAATTTATGTTTCTCTTTTGCAAAGTTTTAAGCAACCGAACAGTTAAAAAAATAAGAGTTTTAAAGCATCATCATTTTTTACTGAACTGTGACTGAAGTACTGAAGAAATCGATTTAAAATTTCCTAAAAATTTATGCAAGACGGTGGAACTGAAAGATAGCTGTTCGGTGCATGCTTTACGAGAAAGAAAGCCATTCTCAATAA